ATGTCTGAAACGTCTACATTGATCTGAAATATCTTAATAAATAGTATGGATCAGACAAGGCGATACAGGGGAGCTGCGGATACCTGGGAGTTGTATGAGCAATTAGCTGTCAAATCCTAGGTGGGGGTCGGGTCATTTGTTTACTAGGAGCCCCGTAATGGGAATGGGACAATTGCAGCTCCAAGGGATACTGGGTGCTCCAGAGTAGAACAGAACAATGACCACAGCCTCAACATTGACCTGTATTGATGTATCAAAGGGACGCTGGACCCGGTTTCCAGCAGGTGTTGCTCCGCACCAATAGATGGAGCAGCCCAGCGGCCAAGGCCTCAATTCCGGTGGTTCTCTTACCACTGCGGGGATAGTGGCCTTACAAAAGGGCTTTTGCAATAAATAAATAAATAAATAAATAATAATAAATGAAAAGAGAATTAAAATTAGTGAGTGAGCGAGCACGTTTTAGACACCGCCATCTTTGGCGATTTTTTTTTTTTTTTTTTGGCACAGCCAAATGCCCTGAAAAGTTACAGATGTGTACTTCAAATAATACAAAACTCATTAAAAAAATTTCAAAAAATAATAAAATTGTTTAGGCCCCACAATAAAGTGAAAACAAAAAGTAAGAAGTTAAAAAAAAAAAAAAATAGTGAGTGGGCGAGCACATTTTGACATCGCCATCTTTGGCGATTTGTAATTTTTGTTTGGCTTAGCAAAATGACTTCACAATTTATAGGCATGTACCTCACATCATAAAGCACCCACAAAATAAAATTCAGAAAAAAAACTTATTTGTAGGAACCAAAATAATTTTTGGCGGGGGCCGAACGCCTTCAGGTTCGGACCCCGAACGGGACCCCAAACGGCTGTACGTACAGAGGTCGGCCCGGGGCCCTCTGTACATACAGGCTGGTGACCCTGGTGGTCGGCAATGGTGTTGACGTCACGTACATTGGTCTTCGACTTCGATATGATCCTGTTGCTATAACGTATATAGGTAGATAGGCTGAGTAGAGTAGGTTGGGCACTCAGCGCCCGACAGTAGGAGCGGCATTGGATACAGTGTTGGTGTGACCAGGGAGCGTCGGCATTGACATTCGAGCTCATTGTATTGCTCTTATTTGGAAGGAATCTTTGTGCATTGTGCTCTCTGCGTGGTATATGACTATCTGGACTTTTGCAACTTGGTTTTCTGCCGATCGCTCTCGCCCATATTCCTTGCAATACAGACTATACCACCTTATGTGGACCAGCTTATCAAAGAAAATGTTCATTTTTAAAAGGGATGGCAAATCGACCATAATGTTCACATAAATCTGTTTGCTAGGGGTGCATTTCTCCAGTCCATTCCCTTCATGGTGATGACATGCACCTTGGGACTTAAATTGGTTTTGGTTCTCGTTTCGTGGAAGGATCTTCTTTCAGGGAGCTGAAAAAAGAGCTGTTTGTTTTAAACTTCTAGCTCGTGGATTAATCTTCTTTTAGGGAATTAAAAAAAGAACGGTCTGCTTTAAACTTCTAGCTTCCAAACTTCTGAGTTCCAAATTCCAATGCCTAAGAGAAATGGGGTGGATGTTTGCATGTAATATAAGGGTTCAGCCTCCTGATGAGTCGGTGAAACTCCGACGAAACAGTTTGTCACAGCCCCTCGTTTGTTGTCCTCTTCTCCCTCTCTGCCTACGGCTTACCGGGCAGCTCTGTTTGACGATATGTATTTATATACTTATGTATATATTATATGTATATGTTTATTTATATATGTATATATATCTGTATATATACATATATACACATGGTAGCCGGCATTCGGCCGGGGCCGAACAGCCGAACCCGAACGCCTGAACGTTCGGCCTCCCCTGTAGATGCGTTCGGCCGTTGGGGCTGAATGCGGACCCCCCCCCCAAAAAAAAAAAAAAAATCAAAAAAATCTGAATAAAATTATATGTTCTGCAGAAAACTTAACTGAACAACTTTTTTTTTTTTTTCTGTTTGAACAACTTTTTTTTTTCAAAAAGGAGATAGCATGCATTATTCATGATATGGCAAAAGGAGGCCGGGGATCCCTCCACATCTCAACCCAGGGAGCTGTGGCCATTACCCAGAATAGGCTCATACTGGAAACCGGGTCCAGTGTCCCATGCCCTTCCTGACTACATGCTATTCTAAGAAAATCCATAACTGGAGAGGCCCAAGTCCTAGATGAGAAAAAGCAGCAACTATCAAAAGGATTCTCACAAACTTCTTACTCTTTCTTAACTCTTTACTGTCACCCAAACCCAGAGCTGATCTACATGTCACCCAAACAGTAGGCCTGTCTAACGCAACAGACTAGTCAAACCCAGGGCACGCACCCAGGGCACCCCTAGAACAGGGAAGTAACCACTGGCTAATGCTTAATTTCCCTTCCTCCGAAAGGAAGAAAAAGACCACCGGATGCCCTAGTCCGTATAAACCACAGTGGACCTTTCCTTTGCCAATCTGCGATGATAGTCAATCTGATCTGTAGCACAATTATTCCATTTAGTTCCTCCGTTTGCACTGCCTTGCCTCTGAAGAGTTTCTGATTCTGAGCCTGCCAGATCGCCTTCATTGTGATGCTTCTGCAGACTTGGGCTATATAGCCCCCATCCTGCGTCCATTGTGACTGGGGCATTGGGGCAGCCTGTGCGGATCCAGGAATCAGATTCAAAACTCCACAGCCTTGCGCATGGACACCGGCAGGGCGTTAGAATGATGCACGGCTGGACACACACCCCCTTGGGATGACGCAGGTAAGTTATTACAGACACTGCCTGCACACCACCCAAGGGGTAATCCATGGTTGTTGTATGTGGGGACCGGGTGATGGTGGGTATCCTGATGTCCTTGGTCTAGGGGGGTGTCATGAGACTGCTGGGTGGCTTGCATAGTCCGGCTTACTCGAGCCCAGCAGAGCACAGATACAGACTATTTCACAGTGTAGGTCAATAGGTTAGGTCACTTGCACAATTCACATAAGGCCTGCGTTTGATATCAGACTGTATCTTAGGGCTGGTGATCCTCTTAGTACGTGGTCAAAGGATTGAGGCTGGCATAGCAGTTCCTTAGTACGGGATGTCGGGAGTGTCAGGAGATAGTGCACTTTTCCGTAGGGCCAGAATGGGCTCAAGGGACATACGAGGGAACAGAGGATTGTCTGCCCTCAGATTACCATACAACACAGGGCTAAGAGATTATCCAGGGTCAATACATACAGTCCATAGTTCACGATTGAGGATGGGCTATCCTCCTAGTACGTACCTTAAAGTTGAGGCTGGCATAGCAGTCCTTAGTACGGATGTCAGGGGTGTCAGGAGATACTGCACCTTCCCGTGGGGCTGGAACGGGCTGCAGGGATATACGAGGGAGCGGAGGATGCCCATCTCTCTACCATCAACATCGTCGTACACTGTAGTAAAAAGACAACATAAGGATAAAGAAAGAAACTCAGTCCATAACTCATGACCTAGGGTTGGCTATCCTCCTAGTACGTAGTATAGGGTTGAGGCTGGCATAGCAGTTCCTTAGTACGGGATGTCGGGGGTGTCATGGCCGGAACGGGCTCCAGGGACATATGAGGGAACGGAGGATACCCAGTTCTCTATCATCACCTTACAACTTAGCTAGATGGGAGTCACTGTGCACCCTCATGAAGACCTGTAGTAACATGTTCAAACCTAGCTCCCGAAGTCCCCGTGCAATCAGGCTTGTGCGGCGTCTGCTTCGACCGGGGCTGAGTAGGGGGTAGGCATCTCTGCTTAGCCCCGGTACCTGCAACCGCTGTCTGGTCAGGTCACCCTGCCAAGATGGCAATGGGTGATGGTCCTGGGTGGTTAACACTAGGGTAGGACAGGGGGAGTGGGGGTGCGCCAGGGAAAAAAGATAAGAGGAAGGGTGGGTGGGGTCTTCAGAGGGGCTCATCTGGACAACAGAGTGGCCGAGTACTGTGGGTGACTGCCATCCGTCTAGTATCCCACCTCTACAACAACCTGGGCTTTTTTTTTCTTTTTTCTTTTTTAAGAAGGAAAAAAAAAAAGAAAGAAGGGAAAACTGGACGACATTTCGTCCACCATTGCCCTGAACAACATTTGCCACAGTGTTATATTCAAATTCTTTACCAAATTTGAAATAAAATGCAATACGGAGAACAAATAATAATAAAACTAAGAAAAAATGAAGAGAGAATTAAAATCAGTGCGTGGGCTGGCACATTTTAAACACCGCCATCTTTGGCGATTTTTCATTTTTCTTTGGCTGAGTCACATACCCTAAAAATTTATAGATGTGTATCTCACATGATACAAAAATCATTAAAAAAAAGTCAAAAAATAATAAAATTGTTTAGGTCCCTAAATAAAGTGAAAACAAAAAGTGAAAAGAGAAAAAAAACAAAATAGTGAGTGGGCGAGCATGTTTTGACATCGCCATCTGTGGCGATTTTTCATTTGTTTTGGCTCAGCAACATGCTTTCAAAATTTATAGGCATGTACCTCACATCATTTAAAACTCACAAAAACAAAATAAAAAAAAAGGAAATAATTTTTAGGCCCCGAAATATTTTTTTGGCAGGGGCCGAACCCCTTCAGGTTTGGACCCCAAACGGGACCCCAAACGCCCGAACGTACGGCGGTCGGCCCGGGGGCCTCCGTACGTACGGGCTGGTAACCATGTATATACATATATATCGTTATAGACAACGACTGTAGGCAGAGAGGGAGAAGAGGACAGCAAACAAGAGGCTGTGGCAGAGCGCTCGTTGCAGTTTCATAGACTCGTCTGGAGGCTGAACGCTCTAGAGTCTGCAGAGTCCCCTAACCAATTACACTGTAAGTGATAATCCACCTTCACCCCAGTGTTGATTAAGCATGAAAGACTCTTGATACAAGGACCGAATTCTAAATCTGCTTAGGGAGTGCTAATATATATATATATATATATGTATATATCATATGTACATATATTTGCAATTGGCTGGCTGCTTGCAGTATAATAAAGCTTTTGAAGTCGTTCGAGGAAATGGGGCTGAAGATTCCGCAGGATGCAGCAGACACTCTGCAGAACCGGATCCAGGGATTTATGAAAAACTTGCCGATCCTTCATTGCCTCTGCAACAAGGGTCTCCGTGAGAGACATTGGATTGCGATGTCCAAGATTGTGGGTTTCCAGATGCACGGCGATGTCAAGCAGTCGATGAAGATGTTGAAAAAGCATGACGTACGTGTTTCTGCAAGACTGCAACTGAACACTGTCGTGACTGTCCGTCAAAAAAAATAAAAATAACCGCCTTCTTTTTGTATCAATCAGATTCCCCGGATAGATTTGGACCAGATGATCTGTTTGTTTATAGACAGATGTTAGTACTTTTTAGAATTTACATGTGTGTTGCAATCAGCAAGCCAGCCCCATTGGGGACCCTCGGTTCCATATTTATAGATTTATATTTTCAGGTTTGGCGATCGAGGAAAGTGACCCAAAGCCAGCCCTCCTGGGCCTCCTCCCTGCCCCAGGGACGACCCCCCCGGCCACCCCCTGCCCCCCCCCTTGCCTGCTGTTAATGGCTTCACTGCAATGGTGACACAATGGGACCAGCAAACTTTTTACTCTTATTTTCTAAGCTTAAGCCCCAAACTTTACTGTATCCAGCAAGATTTGAACTCGTGCTCTGTTTACTGGTAACATGTACATCCCATGTCATCACAAGGCACAAACTCCATGGAACTCCTCAGGCTTTCCTCCCACACCAATGTCAGAATTGTGAGCGTGCAGATCATATGAGGTCAACTTGTATAATAGTCTACTTCACCTGATCACTTAGTTCCAGCATTGCCACTTTTTGGTATTCTGTAATGACCCTCCATAACACAGACTGAGAACACTGCTGATTTCTGGAGTTCTGCCGATGGAATGGATGCCTTGCTGAGATTCCCGCATTCTGCCGAGTTTTCTAAGTCTGTGTGTGTGCGTGCCTGTCTGAGTGCTTGTCGGTATGAGTGTGTGTGTGACCCGCAAGGGTACTTGCTGGGAGGAAGAAGCCGGGAGCTTCCACCTTGGCTATGGTGGAGCTCTTCCGGTACGAGGAGGAGGGAGAAGGGGACTAAGGAGGAAAGTGGCGAGGTACCTACCTGGCTATGGTGGACACCATCTTCATCACCTTGTTAGGCGCTGCATCTGGAAGGGCCCCGTTGGGGTAGTGCCGCACCAAGGAAGCTCGGGGCAGAGGCAAGCATGGCGGCCTAGTGAGCAGCGGGGCATAGCTGCTTTGCGTTGTCCTTTGCACAGGGAGGCAGCGACATAGCTGCTTTGGGCTGTCCTTTGGACAGGAGGGTTGAGCCCTCGGTAGTCCGCCATAGCCTCGACCTACATGTGAGAGGAAGGAGAAGGGTGGCCATGGCTATGGTGGACCTCATGTTGTCCCTGCAATAGAAGTGGGATTCGGACATTGATTCTGGTTCAGCCATTCAACATCATTATTGTTATTTCTTGTCTGAATAAGAGGGGAGGAGATAAGGAGGACGAGATTGGTTGGCGAAGGAGAAGAGCCTTGTCATTGGTCTATATTGGAGTACATCATCTTCTTCTTCTTTCTTACTTCTTCTTCTTTCCCTCTCTCCCCTCTCAAGTTCATTCATTTCTTTTTGCAATTGGACGGCATTGTACTTTCTGATGCATGTATACTTCGAAATTGGCCAGGATCGTAACATTGGTATCAGAGCGGATTCTACTTGCTGGCGAGAGTTGACTTTGCCGCCATAACCCTAACCTAAGTGGTAAGGGCTAACCACTTAGGGTTAGGGCTGGAAGTTAGGGTTAAGTGGGGCAGCGTGGTGAAGAGAAGCTGCTCCCACTGGCAGGGTCGTGTAGGGTCGACATTAGACCCGGCCAGGTAGCTTGAGTGCATGTTTGTGGTGGCGAGACACAAGGTGGGACTTCGTGATGCAGTTTGAGAG